TATTCCTCCCTCCTCCTCCTTTTCTTCTTCCTCCTCCTCTTCCTCCTCCTTTTTGGTGACAGCCTCTTTCTTCATTTACTCAGCTTTTATATAATTTAGATTCTGTCCCAAGTCTTCAACTCTCCCACTGATCTGGTGATCCCTGCACCAACGCCACACTTCTAATTACTATGGCACCATAATATTAAAATGCCTTGCCATCATTCTCTTTCAAATTATTCTCATTCTCTATGTTTTATTTTCCCAGATGAATTTCGGAATCATTTGAGTACTCCTTGCTGTCTAAAACATATGACAAACCTACAAATTACTTTCTATGACAAATCTCAGAAATATATTTATAATAACCAGGCTTTCCATCCAGGAATATATTTCTATACATTTAAATATTTTAAATCAGTGATTTTTGTAGTTTTCTTCACCTAGGTCACTCACACTTACTGTTTTTGAATTATTTCTAAGTATGTGTATCTTCTAATGGGTACTTATTTGGTACTTATTTCTTATTTCTAATGGGTACTTATTTCAAAACCAGCGTCTTACTGTGCATTCTTTTGTTAGTCCTAGCAGACTATTGCATTATCCATCATCTCCTTTCCCATAGCTATATTTTTCTTCAGTTTTATATTTTGTTGCATTGGCTAGAACTTCCAGGTTGATATTAAATAACAGTGAAAACAGGTCTGATTAATATTACTGATTAATATTACTGGGAATTCCTTTAGGGCATCATTATTCAGTATGACTCTTGGGTATTGGTTTGAACTAACTTTCAATTGGCTCAAACAGAACTATAGCCAAATAACCAACCTGGGGAAATTTTTAAGATAAAGTGTAGTTATGGTCCACCTAGATAGTTCCCAGCATGTGAATGGGTTATGTTTTAAAAGTTGTCTTAAACTGTTGAGAATGCAAATTTCACCACAAGCGAAGTATTATAAATTATAGTGAAGTTCCCTGACTTCACCCAAATACTTATTTGACCCTTAAGACTACAGAGCTAAGTCCAGCCTCAAGCATGAGCTTTCTGCCCATGGGGTGTCCAATGAGGGAATCATTAGCTGGAGGCTCCAGCAGATGTGCAGCAGCTCAGCATGGGTCAGCTGTATCTAAGAAGGAGTCAGTAGGCCGGGCGCAGTGGCTCACACCTGTAATCCCAGCACTTTGGGAGACGGAGGTGGGTGGATCACTTGAGGCCAGGAGTTCGAGACCAGCCTGGCCAACATGGTAAAACCCCATCCTCTGCCACAAACATTAAAAAAAAAAAAAAAAAGGCCAAACACGGTGGTGCAAGCCTGTAATCCCAGCTACCTGGGAGGCTGAGGCAGGAGAATCACTTGAACCCAGGAGGTGGAGGCTGTAGTGAGCCAAGATCATGCCACTCTACTCCAGCCTGGGTGATAGAGCCAGACTCTGTTAAAATAAAATAAATAAAATAAAATAAACAGTAATAATTCAAATGGTAGGCAACATTGAGCACTTGGCATACATACATATACAATATATTATATAATTTCATCTATCATCATCACCACAGCCTTCACATTAGACACTATCTTTATCCCTATTTCATGGATGAGGAAATTGAGGCTCAGAGACTTGACTTTAGAAGCTATACAAACATTAATTCACCTGGATTTTCAACAAATATTAGGAAAGAAGAAAAATCATTGTTCTGAAAAAGGCGATAGTCTTCTAGTCCAGTGCTTCTCAAAGTTTAATGTGCGTATGAATCACCTGGGCAATTTTGTTAAAATGCAGATTCTGATTGAGTAGATCTGGTGTGGGAGCCAAGTTTCTGCATTTATAACAAGCTTCCCAGGTAGCACCAATGTTGCTGGTAAACAGACCACACTTTGAACAGCAAGGCTTTAGCTAACATAATTAAATCCTCAGTGATCAGCTTGATTCCTTCTTTAAAAATGTGTATTCAAAAAAAAAAAAAAAAGCCAGACCAGGCATGGTGGCTCATGCCTGTAATCCCAGCACTTTGGGAGGCCGAGGCAGGCGGATCACTAGGTCAGGAGTTCGAGAACAGCCTGACCAACATGGAGAAACCCCGCCTCTACTAAAAATACAAAAATTAGCTGAGCGTGGTGGTGCACACCTGTAATCCCAGCTACTCAGGAGGCTAAGGCAGGAGAATCACTTGAACCTGGGAGGCAGAGGTTGCAGTGAGCCGAGATCATGCCACTACACTCCAGCCTGGGTGACAGAGCAAGACTTCATCTCAAAAACAAACGAACAAACACCTTTCAAAAAAGAAACCTTCACATAATAGATTTAGTCAAATCTTTAAACAAAATCCTTCAATTATGGGCAGAGGAAGGGTTCTCCAGAATACCTTTCAATTTGGTCCTTCTGGTCAATCCTGGAAAGCTGTATATGTAGATGAGGGGTTTTAGCTTCCGGTCAGAAAAAGCCACAACTTCATAGGGGATGTTAGTTGCCACGACGCCCACAATTCCATTACTACACTGGAGTACAGTCTTGTTCTTGGTTTCAATATTAATAAATATTACATAATTCCCACAAGGGTAGCAAATGGTGTTGTTGTTGACAAAATGAACATTCTGCTTAGGGAATCCTTGCACCCATCTTTGGGAAAAGATATGTCAACATCAATATAATACATTTCAAATACTTTTTTTTTTTATTTAACAAAGCAAAGGGTCATCAAAATCTTTGAAACATTTCTATTTCCATGTCCTTTCTGCCCCCAGTTTCTAAGATAAAAGAACACACATGCTGGCTGTGAGATCCATTTGAGTCAATTAATTATAGAAATTTAAATGTGGACCTAAAGTCCCATAGGTCTCCCAGGCCTTCTTCAGATAACTTTTTCAGCAAAGGAAACTCTCTGACCAAACCTGAGAAAGTCTCAAAAGGACTTCTGGGGTCTTGTATTCTTGGAAGACAAAAAGTGCAAATAACAGACAAAAGAGCTTGATCTCAACACAATGGCATCTTGGGCCATTCTTTTATAATTAGTTTGATTTTTTTAAATGAACTTTAAAAAACAATTTTGCATAGGACAACCTGCTTTGTGGTTGTAAGAGGAGTAGGAAAATTGCTTATTTACACAGATTAAGAGTATGTGGCCATATTTTAGATTTTAAAATACAGATAAATGTAGAAAATAAAAGGAACGAAGTCGATGTGAATGAAAGGCTAGCACACAAAAAGAACATACTCTCAAGTAAGGAGTGCGTGCTAAGTGTGTGATAGAAAGAAGGAGAGGAGATGAAGGAGATTCTATTTTTATTTAAATATTAAAGATACGCTTGAAGATGGTGGAAAAGGCAAGTGAAGGACACTGGTTTGGTGGGAAACCTCGAGACGTTAGAGTGTCCAGGACTAGCAGGGGATCCTCTATAGGGTGGAGGTGAGGGCTGGGAGGAACACCCTAGAATGCAGAAAAAAAAAATACCACCTATATCTGCGCAGTGCTTGATGCTTTTCAAAGGCCACTATAAATAAATGCAAATAAATCCAAAGCTTGTGGATGGGAGTTAGAAGGATTCAAGGTCCTAACTTTGGGGGAAATTATCAAAGGTGGCAAGGACGGGATCCCGGCTGTCGCCAGTGGAGAGGGAGGGGGATGTGATCAGGGGACCCGGATCACTAGCGGGAATCCTGAGCCAGAAGGAAGAGATGAAGGGTGCAGGGGGCGTTGCTGGGTAAGGGAGGCGGGGGTGGGGGAGGGCGGTCAGGATCGCAGAATAAGGAGTGGGAAAGACAACTGGGGACGGGGTCAAGGAACAAGTGGATGGGGAGCGGACAGGGGAGGTCACACGGGTAGGGAGGCTGCGAGAAGGCAATAGGGGCAGAGGGGAAGGGGTCGAAGCTGCAGGGAAAGCCGCCCCAAGGAACCGGAGGGAGAGGAAGGAGGAGGGGACGTGGGGCAAGAGGTTCCGCGAGACCCAGAGCGGTCGCGGGGCCGTGGACACCGCACCTCACGGACAGGGACGCGCCGCCGGTGGAGTGATAACCTTCGTCGCGCTCCCGGCCTTGCGCCATGGGCAGTGTTTTCCTCAGGCCGGAGCGGGCAGCGCACGCAGTACCCCAGGGCGGGTCGGTTACCTTTCCTCCGCCACCTGGCTGCCGACTGCGACGCCGCCACTGTGTACACCTGTATCCCGGAGACCGTAAGCCCCGCGCCCATTGGCTCTCTGCTTTGGCCCGCTCCCTCCTGGGCCGAGCAGACTGGTGGAAGGTCCGCCACTCTCGACCAATGGGTGAGCGGCAAGCCAAGCGAGGGGCGGGCCCCTCCGAGTGTGGGCTGGAAAGGCCCAGGTCCGGGCCAATAATTGCAAGTAAGACTCATGCGTACAATCTCCGCGTTTTCGAAGGTCAGAGCCGGCGGATCCCTTGAGGCTAGGAGTTGAAGACCAGCCTGGACAATATAGCGACACCTGCCGCGCCCGTGCCCCACCTCTACAAAAAATTTTAAAAAGCAGCCGGGCGTGGCGGTGCACGCCTGTAGTCCCAGCTACTTGGGAGACTGAGGTGGGAGGATCGCTTGAGCCCAGGAGTTCAAGGCTGCGGTGAGCTGGGATGACGCCACAGCAGTCCAACCTGGGCGACAGAGCGAGACCTGTCTCTAAATAAATAATAATTTTTTAAAATTAATAAATTTCTAAACAGACTTGCATTTAGAGTGCAGACTGTGCCAAACATTGTTGCAATGTCTTCACATCTCCCATGATCCCCATTTTACAGACACGTAATGTGAGGAAAAGAGAAGCACATAATTTGTCCATGGCTACAAAGTTGAGTGGGACTTTATTTATATTATTTATTTATTTATTTATTTCTTGTTGAGAGAGGGTCTCACTCTGTTGCCCAGGCTGGAGGGCAGTGGCTTGATCTTGGTTCACTGCAACCTCCACCTCCTGAATTCAAGCGATTCTCCTGCCTCAGCCTCCCAAGTAGCTGAGATTACAGGCACATGCCACCACGCCCAGCTAATTTTTTGTATTTTTTAGTAGAGATGGGATTTCACCATGTTGACCAGGCTGGTCTCAAATTCTTGACCTCAAGTGATTCGCCCACGTTGGCCTCCCAGAGTGCTGCAATTACAGGCGTGAGCCACCTTGCCCAGCCCTGAGTGGGACTTAAATGCAGATCTAGCCTAATTTAGAGCTCCAAGCCCGTAAGTACCACATAACACTTTGAAATGTACCCTCTTGCTTCCTCAGGGAAGCAGACAGCTCTGGAAGTAACCTGATTGAATGGTTGGCAGCTTGTCATTCCCTTTTCTCTCCCATACCTTCCCTTAGACTCCCTCCCTTACCCTTCTCCTTCCTTTCCCTGCAGTCCTCTTACCTTCTATACCCTTCCCTTCCTTTCTTTATGTCTTTCCTTCCTGTCTTGCTTTCTTCTCTCCATTTCTTTCACAAATAGTTACAGAGCATCCCGCATGCATTCATGCATGTGCTAGTCACTTGGAAAAAATAGAAAAACAAATACAATTTCTTTCTTCTTGGAACTTAGAGACTGGTGGGATCCAGGGAGTTGAGCTAGATATCCACATTGTCTCAGATGGTCTGTATAAGTTGTGAAAGGATTTATGAAAGTGATTTTATACAAGAAATGTTGTACAATTCACAGATTGTTAGGCCTCCTAAATGCTTCATACAATGCCCTATGACTCTTACTGTACAACTTGCCTGCTTAAGTGAGGCTGGACACGTGGAGTTAGCCATGCTCTCTAGCTATGCTGGAGAGTCAGCTCTTATCTGCACTTCTGCCTGGTGTGTCCTAGGCTAGGCTTCACACCTAGGACATAATTAAAATCTCTTACCAAGGTTTTCACCAAAAATAAAAGTTGCTAAGAGTTGACATTATAACATGTAATTAAAACTACTAAAGAAACAATTTTACATGCAAGGTGTGTAAAGAAAGTAAAATGTGTTTCTGGTGAAAGCTTATAAGAAGTCATGGGAATGTGGATTTTTTTTCTGCCTACATTTAAGTGTTAAAGGATTACTTTAAGTAAAAAAAAAAAATCTAAAGGTTTAAATAAGTTGTGGAAGGTTTATAAAAATTAATTGTAAGAGATTCCATGTGTGAACATGTTGGCTAAAGTTACAGGGGTTTTATTCAGTTTTTCCATAAATTAAACATTGGAATAAAAGCACAACAGGTTTTTCTTAGATAATTGATCTGCTCTTTCACACACACACACACACACACACACACACACACAATTGTAAAGGGTTATACAAGGTTTATAAGACTCTTACCTTATGGTTAAACATTAAAATTGGGTAAATATTTCTATAAGGTTTTATTAAAAATTGGGTTTAACATTAATAGCACATTAATGTAAAGGTAAAATTTGGGTTATTTGGTATAACAGTCATACAGGAAGCATTATCAAATGTGAAATGGTGTTTTGCTTTTTTTGGACTATATTTGCATAAATGTGTTATTGGTATATGTTACAAAGTTATGAGAAATGCTTATAATTCTAATATGACTTAGTGTAGGTTATCAATAATTATAATTGTTATGTCAAATTTTGTGTGCCACAGAAGTAACCAAGTTTCCTTATCAATTGTGGCTTTAATAGTGGCTATCCTAAAACTTTTTATTAACCACAATTGTTTTCTTGTTCTAATCCTCTTTAGAAGGTGGTTTGTAATCAACTATAGAACTCTAGCAGGTGTTCCTAAATGCAGGTTTCTAATAACTTTGGAAATTGTAACATTAGAATAGAGGAAACAACTTTCAGAACCCTCATGAAGAGCTGGAATGTTCATGAATATCAGAGTCAAGGAAACTTTTCTTTTGAGCTATTTACAGCTTTTAGCAATTGAGTATACTTCTGTGAACAAAATTTGGAGTATATTTGTTTCTACCTAATTTTTCCAAAATTTGGAAACTATTTGTGAGTATTCTTAATTTATGTCTACATAGTTATTTGCATACATGCAATAAGGATCTGTTTTCTTTTGTAACAGAACACAATTGGATAATTGGTTATTTTACCAAGCTTTAACTGGAATGGTGTGCTTTCCTTTAAGGAATCAAACTTGACTTGTAAAGCCAATAAAAACCCCTTGGAGAATTGGCCTCAGATCTTGTCTGCAACAGTCCCTGTAAAGGTAAGTAAAGAATGACCTGTGATAAGTAAAGAATGTCACTTTCTGACAGGTCCAGGAGTCCCAAGTTATCTTGGGACCCCAAGAGGACAGGAATTTACTCAAATCATAGATATTTGAGGGTACAAACACATGGCCGAGCTTGGCTTTACAAAGTCTTATCTAAGATCACTTCTATAGAGCAGAGTTCTATCAAAGCCAATTTAAAAAGAGCCTATGTGAAAAATAATTATTCTTGTTGCACTTTATACAAATAATCAGGCCAAGTATAACAAAGCAAATCAGTCTTACCATGATTTGTCTTTAGCAAAAATGAGAAACTGGAGAGAGTAATATTATGTTTCAAGAATTATGGTATACTTGTTATTAAATTCTAGTCTCATTAGTTGTTTTTAAGTTTATTTCTGCAATTTAGGCTAACCCTGCTTGTTCCTGTAAACCAACCAATGATCTCTGACTGCTGCTCAGAAGAAACAAAAGGGATGGGTAATGTAAAAATCTGGATCAGTATTCTAATTCTTGGCACATCACATTCAGCTAATAACCCCATGTCAGCTTAGTTCCAACAGCTGCCCAATTCATGAAAAGCCTTCTAATTTAGCTTACTCGGAATAACTTTACTTATTTTGCTTTACACTTGTGCAATATATTGCTGTTATACTCTTTGTGTAGGAATACAGGACAAGCTTACTAAATGTTTTCTTAAACACGTATTAATCTTCCAGATATCACTTTTTGTCAAAACTCAAGAGTTTTGAATGGACCTTACCATACTGATGCTCTCTGACTGAGCTCCTCTCCACCCTGAATGCAAGAGACCCTTATAGTTAGGCAGGAATATTATCGCCCCTATTCAGCCTGAAGAAGTTACAAGAGATGGATCCTTGTCCCTCTGCAACCCTTAGGATTAAGGGTTCTCTTATAAAAGAGAGGTGGGAAATGTCAGAGGCGTGTGAACAAGAGCAACTCCATCTTAAATAGGAGCTGGGTAAAATGAAGCTGAAACCTACTGGGCTGCATTTCCAGATGGTTAGGCATTCTAAGTCAAAGGATGAGATAGGAGGTCAGCACAAAATACAGTCATAAAGACCTTGCTGATAAAATAGTTTGCAGCAAAGGAGCCTGCCAAAACTCACCAAAACCAAAATGGCGACGAGAGTGACCTCTGGTTGTCCTCATTGCTACACTCTCACCAGCTCCATGGCAGTTTATACATGCCATGGCAACATCAGGAAGTTACCCTAGTTGGTCTAAAAAGGGGAGCCATGAATAATCCACCCCTTGTTTAGCGTATCATCTTTTATTCCTTTACTTTCTTAATAAACTTGCTTTCACTTTGCACTGCAGAGTCGCCCTGAATTCATTCTTGCATGAGATCCAAAAACCCTCTCTTGGGGTCTGGATCAGGACCCCTTTCCTATAACAATATCATTACACAAATAGAATTATAGATTGAAATAAGAAGAAAAGAAACATAATAGTATGAATGCTTATGTTAGGATCCTCACCTAGTGACAAAGATTCTCTGCCTGGCCAAACTTTCGTCGGGCTCCTGAACCTTTTCCTAGGCTTGTCTGTGCCCTTCCTTGTAAAATCCAGTTTTAGCAAAGAATACTGCTAAGTCAGTTTGGCAACACTGCTAAGTCAGTCCATCAGTGTCCTCAATGTCTGATCACCCTCCATATCTGATCAGGTTCCTTATTCTCTACTGTCCCCCAGGTGATGTCTGATTACCTTGGCTTATGTGAACCCAAAATATCTGAGACAGATCTCAATCAATTTAGAAAGTTTATTTTTCTAAGGTTAAGAACATGCCCATGACACAGCCTCAGGAGGTCCTGACATGTGCCCAAGGTGGTCGGGGCACAGCTTGGTTGTATACCAAGGATTTTTAGGGAGACATGAGGCATCCTACACAATATGTATAAGATGTACATAGGTTCAGTCAGGTCATAGGGAGATAAGAGAAAAAAGATTACATTCCTTTGAGTCTCTGATTAGCTTTTCACTGAATACAACAATTTACATATGAGAGGAGGGTAGAGGAATAGTCACTTATGCCTAAGTCTGGCTTAGTGAAACAACAGGGCAGAGAAAGCCATCAGACGTACAGTTGTCTCTTGTGACCAGAGGAATGACTTTGAGTTCTGTCTGTCCTTTGTCCACAAGGAATTTCCTTGTGGGAAAATTATTTGATTGGGGTGGGGGATATGTAGCTTTTTTATATTTGTAGCTATCTTATGCAGGAATAAAATGGGAGGCAGATTTGCCTGACACAGTTCCCAGCTTGGCTTTCCCTTTGGCTTAGTGATTTGAGGGCCCCAAGATTTATTTTCCTTTCCTACCTGTCTTCAGCAAGAAGCCCATTAGGTCAATTTAGCCAGAATCTTCCATCAGCCCTGATGGTTGCTATTAGTAATTTTCCATCCACTGACCTGCTCCTTGGCTATAAATTCCCACTTGCCCATGCTGTATTTAGAGTTGAGCTCTGTTCTCAAACTTCCATTGTTGTGGTTCCTACACCTTTCATGATGGTCCTGAGTAAAGGTGGCCTTACCATGCTTTAGCAAGTATCGTTGAATAATTTGTTGTTTAACATGAGCTGAACGGGCAGTGATAGGGATGGTCTCTGTGTGCAGGCACCACTTTCACTGAGGGTCAAACGATGAGGAGGGATTGCTGGATGGGGCTGGGATGGGCTGAGGATAATTTTTATAAAGACACTAAGGCAGGGCCACAGATTGGATGAACTGGGAAGGGCAGTGTGATTGGCGCAGAAGGAGATAAGAAGAAAATACTTAAAATGAGGCTAGTGAAGGAACCAATGGCCAGGTGAAGGACAAGTTGAAAGTTCTGGCCTTTATCTTAAGAGCCATGAAAAGACTACTGGGGCTTAGAGCCCAGGAGTTCAAGACCAGCCTAGGCAACATAGTGAGACCTCATTTCTACTAAAAATACAAAAATTAGCTGGGCATGGTGGCATGTGCATATAGTCCCAGCTATTTGGGAGGCTGAGGCAGGAGGATCACTTGAGCCTTGGGAGGTCGAGGCTGCAGTATGCCATGATCTCACCACTGCACTCCAGCCTAGGTGACAGAGTGAGACCCTATCTCAAAATAAATAAATAAGTAAATAAGAGTAGGATGCTTTGGCATGCTGAATACTTTGAATTAAAGAAGATTGGAAGGCCTCAGAAGCAAAGTTTCTCTCTGACCTTTTTCTGTTCTCCTGTCTCCTGCCCGTTTCTCCACCAAAGCAAATCATAGACACCAGAATTCCTCTTCCCCAAGGTGGTTCATGGAAATTATTAATATGTATATTATGTATATTATAGAACCCCTCTCCCTCAAAGCAAAGCACAAAAACCTGGAAATATTACCCTAACCTTCCTCTGCCTTTATTTGTAGGAACTGGCCATAAAGAAATTCTCTGGCATGCCCGTCTAATGTGGATCATAAGCATCTTATTCCAGAGGAGTCCTGCTCTATACCCAGCAGGAAGGAATCCTACTCAGAGAGGTCAAGAAGAAGGTAAACAGATAGGCTTTGCTGGGTTCCCCTTTCAATCTGTTACCATTATATCATACCCTTTTTGTCCAATCACATTTCTACACAGCTGTCCGTTCTTCATGGAGCCCAAGCATAAAAATACTTTTCCCTGGGTCTTTGAGTCTTTATTTCCGAAGCCTCCTGTGTGGTGTAAAACTTTGAGTTAACAATTTTTTCATGCTTTTCTCTTGTTAATCTGTCTTTTGTTATAGGAATGTCAGCTATAACCCTTATGATAGACGAGGAAAGGTATCACGTCTTTTCCTTCCCTGTAAGACATTAAGTGGTTTTCAGCAGGGGAGTGACAGGATCAGGTCTATGCTTTTAAAAGATCATTTGGCTGCAGGATTATCAAGTGGCGGGGGTGGGAAAACAGGGAGAATTGAAATAGGCAGATCAGTCAGGAGTCTATTCCATTCTCCTAACAAGTGGAGCCAACGCAGGATTTCTCAAATTCAGCACTGTCGGTATTCTGGGCTGGATTTGGCGATTGTGGGTAGAGTCCTATGCATTGTAGGGTGTTTGGCAATGTAGCACCTCTGCAGTTGTGACAACCAAAAATGCCTGTGCACATTCTCAAATGTCCCCTGGATGGCACAATCACCCCCAGTTGAAAACCACTGGTAAGTCAGTGTATTAAAAAGTTATTTTAAAAGGTAAAAATCCATAGGATTTGGTGATGGATTGATAAAAAGAGGCAAGGGAGAAAGGAGAGTGAAGGATGTTCCTAGATTTCTAATTACCACAGAGATGGTGGTGTCCTTCACCGACACAGGGTGAAGAGCAAATGGAGACAGATGTTTCTATGCGGAAATGTGAGTGCCAGACACACACCATGCTTAGTTCTTAAAAACTCATAAAACTGACTGACAAAATCTCACGTTGCAGGTCCCAGGGAGAAGTAGCAAGGAGGAAAAGTCAAACTTTCTCTTGCCACCCCTGATGACTTTGCTTATTTGTGTTTTGACCAAGCCCTCCCCACCCACCCTCATACTTTTAACCACAACTAAGAAAGAAAGGCCACTATCCTTCTGCAACCTGGCCTGGTGTGGGGGTCAGGGAATCTCCTGAATATCATCTACGGGTATCCCCAGAAACCCAGCTAGAGACCTCCCTTAATTTTAAAGCCAACCCTAGAGCAGAAGAGGCCAGTCTTGCCCTGCTCCCAAAGTAAGTGACTGTCAGAGGATGAAAGGTAGGCAGGGAATATAGACTTCGGGAAAGAGATGCTGGCCTGGAATCAGCAGTGACCCTGGGAAGCTGAACTTACTCTGTGTTACAGCAAAGAGGAACTGAATGGAATGAAATTGAAAAGGTAGTCTGGTGTGTGTATCTTACTCTTGATATCTTGCTGTTATGGTTTAGATGGAAAGGGAAGTCTCTAGCTGGGTTTCTGGGGATACCAGAATGTTCTGACATACAGGAGATTACCTGACCCCTACACTGTGCCAGGTTACAGAGGGATGAGTGGCCTTTCTTTCTTAGTCTGGAAGGGGAAATGCAGATCATCGCAGAGAATGGACTGGGAAGGATAAGTTAGGGAAATCGGTTCCAGTTCTTACATGGAAAGATTTGTGGGTATTAGAAACAAAATCTAAGACACACAAGTTTTTCTAATAACCAGTGTGTTCCACCATTTTTAGGAAGGGCCCAACTCCCCTAAACCGGCCCTGCCCCTCCAAATCTTCTCTTCCCTGGCAAATCTCCACCTCGCCACCAACAGCCTAGTCCTGGACAGAATATGCCTAATCCTCAGTGTGAGATTTTATACCTTTCTGGAACTCAGCTTGTCTTAAAGGCTAAAAGAGCAGTGGTTAACTCAAGTTCATTGAGCAAGCCGTAAAACCAAACCAGGCCACAGCCAGTCACAGTACAAAAAAATCCTTATTTCCCACTAAGGGATCATTTCAGTCCTGGCTTCTGTAGGGTTCCAGCCAAATTCCAAGATAATCTGCAAGATGAACTTTCACTAAGTTTTTCTCCCATTAATTTTCTATGACCATTTAAACATGTGAAAAGATCATACAGCATACTAGAACTTATTTTATTAAGTCAATGAGTAAGTGGTTTCCTGTTTATCAGCTAATTGTTTGCTTTTTGTGAAATGCACCTTGTTTATGAGAAAAGTCAAAAAAAGAAGTTGGCATTGTTTCTCTGTGTAAAAAGAAATAATGTAAATAATGAATGTGTTTAAAATAAAGGAATAATCTGCTATGATAGAGAGTATCTGGTTATTCTATGGCAATTGACCCCTTTTGTAGCAGTGATGACCACAATTTACTAAGCTGCTATTATGTGTTTGGAGCTCCATAGAGTCTGAGTCCTCCCACCAACTATGCTACATAAGAACCTGCAGCTCAGAGAGATGAGTGAGACTCAAAATTACACATTTAGTTAGTGGTAGAGCTGGATTCAATCGTGGGTTCACCTGCCCCTGAAGTCTATGCGTTTCTTTTTCTTTTTTTTTTTGTAGAGATGGAGTCTTGTTATGTTGCCCAGGCTGGTCTTGAACTCCTGGCCTCAAGTGATATTCCCACCCTGGCCACCCAGAGTGCTGGGATTACAAGTGTGAGCAACTGCGTCTGGCCTAAAGTCTATGTCTTCTGCACAGGTTTTCTCTCTGCTCTGCTGCCGCATCCATGCATGTTTATATAATAATAGCTAACTTATATGAAGCCACTTCTCTGTGCCTGGCATTGTATATCCTTATAATACATGTATTATTTAATCCCTGTTGTAGAGACAGGAAAATCGAGTCTCAGAAAGTTAAAATTTTTTGCCCAACATCTCACAAGTTTCAAATGAACTCTAATTCAGGTAGTTAATTGTCTTAAAAGCACTCTTCTTTCCAGCAGACTTGTAAATTTCAAAGTAAATTGGACATTTAGTTTAAACTTTGCATTTTTCTGGAAAAAGAGAGGAAAAATAGGAAATCCTTCATAATTTCAAAAGTTTTAGAATAAATAATATGGGAAGAGGCTACATTGTTATGGAGATCCTGGGCCAGTTAGTGAAAATGGCTGAATGTTACTATTTAGTGCATTTAATCTACAAATTCAGACTTCATTTTCAAGCTTCACATATTTTGGAGGTATCTGTGGAGTATAGTTTTATGACTAAATTTTGTGTCCCAAGATGCTTCCTTTACTCTTGACGCTGAAATAACTACACTAGATTAAATACAGAAAGGGTTTGTAAGTCAACATTCAAGAAAATAACACACTGAACATGTGGTTTTAAATAATGTTTTAAAGAAGAATGAGAAGGTTATTTTGCAAGACAGAGGGGATTGTCACAACATGCCCACCTGGAATTCTAAGGCAAGAATATAAATGGAGACTCATAAATCATTTGTTCAATTATTTTCAAATTAGTTCTTAAAAATTTAAAGTCAAACACAAATTATAAGATTGAAAAGTAAAACTTCAAATCAAAATTGTTTAAAGCAAATATTTTTAATTTTAATGAAATTTTATTAAATATTTTTATATAAAAAATTTGCAATTCTAATATTTATTATTCATGTAGCTGTCCAAGAATTGGTATCAAGCTTCATACATGTTATATCTAGACCTACATACATACAGAAACGTAGGACTAATACATTTTTTTCTATATTGCAAAACATTCTTCAGCATCCATGTATAGCCATTGCCAATACCACACTAACCCATGACAACCCCTGGAACCAAACAGCGTTGGAATCAAAGAGAAGCAAAAAAATAGTCACTTGATTGTACTGGGAAACAATACTTAATTATTCACAAAGCAATACTGAATGACTGAATACATTCATGCTCTCTGAAAAAAGGACAAATTCCTTAATATATTTTTCTGAGATGGAGTCTCGCTCTGTCGCCCAGGCTGGAGTGCAGTGGCACGATTTTAGCTCACTGCAACCTCTGTCTCCCAGGTTCACCCAATTCTCCTGCCTCAGCCTCCCGAGTAGCTGGGATTACAGGCACACGCCACCACACCCAGCTAATTTTTGTATTTTTAGTAGAGATGGGATTTCGCCAGCTGGCCAGGCTGGTCTGTGACTCCTGACCTCAGGTGATCTGCCGACCTTGGCCTCTCAAAGTGCTGGGATTACAGGCGTGAGCCACAGCACCCGGCCAATATCTTTTATCTTATCCAAGCATTCCCACCAGTCAGATCCTCCCCACACTCCTTAAGTAGTTTCCAGCTCTGATGTTGAAAGAGGCACAACACACAAACCTCACGGTGTCCAAACACAGTAGCCTTTTGTTTCAAGGACATGGGGCAAATGTGAAGTCACGTGGCAGAACTTTAGAGTCACCGTCATGCTGGGGGAGTGTTGAGAGGTGGACCTCACGTGACAGCAGTGTGGGCCCTCTAAAGGGTGGGGCCCATGGCAGGGGCACACCTTGTGGGGTCTATGGGTGGCATTATTTTTACTGGTGGAAGGTATTTGAGTTACAGGGGGCAAAGCAGAATGGGTCTGCAGCTCAACTCTTGCCTCCTCAGAAGAATAATTCGATTGAGGGAAATAAAGCAGAAAAAGAGACCGAGGCAAGTTTCAGAGCAGAAGTGGAAGTTTATTTTAAAAGACTTTAGAACAGGAAAGATAGGAAAGTACACTTGGAAGAGACCCAAGCATGCGACTTGAAGAATAAGCACAATGTTTAACCTTGATCCTAGGACTTTATAGGCTAGCCCCTTTCCCATAATTCTTCCCTTAGAGGGGGCTGCCCACATGCACAATGCCTCTTCTTTACCTTTGGGAACTGAGCACATGCAGTGTGTCCAGGAAGTTGTACACATGACCATCTGAGGCTCTCTGCCCTTTTCTGGGGGAGTGCCCCTAGAAGGTCATACTCTACCACTTTGTCTCTTCTTTTTTTTTTTTTTTGAGATGGAGTTTTGCTCTTGTTGCCCAGGCTGGAGTGCAATGGCACAATCTTGGCCCACTGCAACCTCCACCTCCCGGGTTCAAGAGATTCTTCTCCTGCGTCAGCCTCCCGAGTAGCTGGGATTACAGACATGCGCCACCATGCCCGGCTAATTTTGTATTTTTAGTAGACATGGGGTTTCTCCATGTTGGTCAGGCTGGTCTCGAACTCCCGACCTCAGGTGATCTGCCCTCCTCGGCCTCCCAAGTGCTGGGATTACAGGCGTGAACTACTTCACCCAGCCCATTTTCTCTGTTAATGTGTATGCCTAGAAAGTTCCTTCTCTCTGGTGCCTGCATTCAATTAACACTTTAGTGCAATAATTGTGGACCATCAGAAAATGGCCTCTCCCTGGCTCCAGCTGCCAATTTATCACTTTTGGAGAGGCAATGTGATAATTGCTGAATCATCACCTGACATTCCTAGTGGGCAGGGGAGAGCTCTCTCCTTCTCTGCTCATGCCTAACTACCCATAACACTATGGTACATGCTTGAGAAACTAGTACTTAGTGAAAGATAAAATAACACAGGAGGAGGAGGAGGAAGACTTTGGAGGAGATGACAAAAGGGGAAAACAGTGGAATTTATAAGAATGACAAAATACATTGCAGAGTAATAAAAAGTAAGGAATCTACTCCCTGGAAGTACTTGGTTTGTGATGGACATGGGACTTCTGATATGTGCTGCAGTCTTGGATGCCAGGTTATTACCAGTTTTGCAGAACACTGACATCTATGGACTCGAACATGGACTCCATGTAAAGAACTACAAGGATGATTAATAAACACAAACACAAATCAATGTGCACTGTTGCCTAAATATCACCTAAAATAGCATGTTAGGAAAGCACCAAGTACCAAGTGTGTGATGACATGGTCTGAAGAAGTGTCTGAAGACCATCATTCCACATTCCACATTGAATAAAATCATGAAGGCTTAAGATCCTCTTCAAAAGCTTCAAAGCTCATCTTTACTAATTTTTCACAAAAGTAAACCTCCTTCCAAAGTATAAACTTAAAACCACTAATGTATCAATATATTCTATTTTATATCATCTCATTGGACTTCCCTTCAATTTCCTTGGCCTTCAGGGTTTTTCATATTGTTTGTGTTCCCTTAGACTAGAGACAAAGAAACAACACTTTCCAAAAAAATACATGTTCTGTGGCCTTTTACAGTGGTAAAAACCCGGCGTAACAATAAAATTGCCTTTGCAAAGATTATGACAGTGAAAGAAATCCAGCATGGCTGACTCCATCTTGCTTCTAGCCTCACAGGCCGGCTGTCCTCGCTCATTCCTGGGTGTAGGTCAAGCTAACCATGGGAAGAATTTAGTTTATAGTTTAACTTTGAAGCAAGGATAGTAATAGTCTCTCCCTAAAACTGACCCCCTCCTTGTTTGGGGACTGAAAACACCTTTGTAAGACTAATGAAAAGCCACAAGATTAGGATTGTGGGAGGGGCCTGAATTCTGCTAAAATGTAGGCATTGGTAACCAATGAAAACCAACCATTGTTTTCTATAATCCCTGACTACTAAAATGTAGGTATAGTTAAGCAGTAAGCAGCAGTTACTATTTCCTAGCTTGCTGTTCTGTAATTTCTTGCTGTTCAGGAGTCACGAAGTCAGAGGTCATAAGATTTGTCATTGCTTCTACAGATGACATCACTATTGTCAAAACCTAAGACTGGTTTTTGAAATACTTTTCAGACTTCTGCATTCTGGTAACTGACTAACTCCACCCAGACCCATGATTCGTATCAAGGAACCGACTCAACCAGTGGTCCCCACCCAGAATTGATTCAGCACTTGAAGACAGTTTGGACACTCCTATGATTCCATCCCCAACCAATCAGCAGCACCCATTCTCTTGGCCCTCTACCCACCAAATTATCCTTAAAAGCCCTAGCTTCTGAGCTCTTGTAGAGGCATATTTGAGAATTAGCTCCTGTGCTACCACTTACCTGGCCCTGTGATAATTAAACTCCTTCTCTACTGCAATACCACTGTCTCAGTGAATGGCTTTATCTGTGCAGCAGGCAAGATGAACCCACTAGGTGATTACAATAAGTTTAGAAGTAGGCGTTTTGTTGCATTCTATGACAAAAATTTGAGTCAACATAAGAAAGTGAGGATGAAGTGGTGAAAATATTTGAGTTCAGATTAAACTCTCAGAGGCTATGTGGCATGGAGAAAAAAGCCCTTGACCTTAAAGTTCTCACTCATAGGTGGGAATTGAACAATGAGAACACTTGGACACAGGGTAGGGAACATCACACATCCCTTTGATTTAGGCATATGGGTGAAGTCTAACTACCAGTCCTCTCCAGGATAGTGACCTATTCTTTGTTCCCCCAAAGGAGCCTAATGATGGGACAAGGGATTAATCCTTGGGCACACCTCACAGGCTTTGACTACCTGTTGGATGGTCTGTAGGAGATTTGGCCCTGTAATAGGGATTTGGCCATTTGATGAGTGTTTTCAATACCCATATGAAAAGTTTGGTGGAGGGTATAAATACCTTTCCTTCTTCTGTCATTAACCACCCTGAGGGGAGAAAACTGTGCCCCAGTGAAAGTCCCCATTCTGTTTCAGTAGGGCAATATTGGGGCTTAATCTCTTGGAGGGAGTTGCTCCATACCAAGGGTCCTTCCGTAGGTATTTCTAATGGGAAGTTCCACCTGGCAGCAATTTTGGCCTCAGCATCTGCCTGATGGTTTTATTCTGCCTTTTCTCCTTCACCTTTCTGATGGCTTTGGCAATGTAAGACGCCACCTCCTTCGGTTTTTGCACTGTATGCAATAACTCCATAATTTCCTTGTGGTATTTAATGGGGGTTCATTCCCCCAGAGGTTATGAACTCCCTTTCTTTCCATATTATAGCATGGACATGTAGGATTAGATAAGCATACTTGCTATCTGTATAAAGATTTATTCTTTTTCCTTTTTCCAGTTCTAAGGCTTGGGTAAGTGCCACTAGTTCTGCTAACTGGTCACTGGTCCCCAGGGGAAGAGGCTTACTTTCAAGTATGGTTACATCAGTAACTATGGCATAACTTGCCCTTCATATCCCATTCTCCACAAATGAACTTCCATCGGTATATAGATTAAGGTCAGGATTAGCTAAGGGGACTTCTAAGAGATCATCTCGGGCAGTGTAAGTCTAGACTATAATTTGTTGGCAGTCCTGCTCGATTGGTTCCCCATCCTCCGGAAGAAAAGTGGCAGAGTTGAGGGCTGCACATGTATGTATTTGAAGCATCAGTCCCTCAAGGAGCAGCACTGGGTATCTAGGTAGGCGGTTTTCTGATAGCCTACTTAGGATGTAGCCTACTAGGATGCAATAAACTTCCTTTGGCACCTAGTATGCCATTTACATCATGAGTAGTCCTGGCAGTGAGATCTTTTCCTTGTATTATTTTGAGAGCCTCTGACACTAAGACGGCCACCGCCACAACTACCCATAAACAGTGAGGCCAGCCTTTTGCTTCTACATCAGTTTCCTT